GGAGAAGTGAGTCATGCTGGATAAAGGAGGGTCAGCAAAAGAAAGGTTAGATCCTCAATAAGATGGTTTGACTTACTGTCATCATGGGCCTGAACATGATGGAGATGGAAAGATGGTGAAGGATAATGCATAGTTCAGGTCTGTTGCCCATAGGGTCTATGTGGGTTGGAGTCAACTCAACAGCACCTAATAAGTAGACAATTTCCTAGTCTTCTCCTCCCATAGAGCTTTATCGCCTTGGAAACCCACCAGAAGGTAATTGTGAATCAGCATTAATTCAGCCAGCATATGTGTGTGTGTTATACACACGCATAGTCTCATAAATAAAATACATATATATGCATAAAGTACAAATTTTTAAAATATAGAAAAATCACGGTGTGTCTTCTGCCTGCATTTTGCCTTTTTTCATTCCATGTTATTATTTAGAAACCAGTCTATATATACATAGTAAATGTCTGTCTTGTTTTGTTTTTTTTAAACATCTTTATTCTTGTTAATAGCTGTATATAATAATTCATTGTACACCATAATCTTCATGACTTTGCCCAGTAGTAAAACTATGTTCATAAATAGCTAAAAGAGGATTTACTAGGTTAAAGAGTGTGTGCATTTATGCTTTGGGTGGATTATGGTGGTTTGCCCTCTAGATAGGTTATACCCATCTGCAGCCTCACGTACAGTGTTGGGGTGTGCTGCTTCCCATAACCCTGTGTTCCAGTTTGTTTCTGGCTAATCCACTAAATGAACAAAAGATGGTTTCAATTTTCTTTTCTAAGTAAGAAAATTGATTACTTTCTCATACATTTAAAGAGATTTAAGAATTAATATTGCCCTTGAAGATCTCATTTTCTTACACTATCCCCTTCCCCTTTTTCTGAGTTATTTTTTAGAAGGATGAAATCAACACTTGTTGCCATTGACTTGGAAACTGGGTTTCAGATACAAACTGGGAGGACATTGTTCCACTTTCTCTTGAGGAGTAGCTGGTGGATTCATACCAACAGAGAGGCATGGCTTTTGGGTTAACAGAGCAGCCCCCTACAACCTATCCCACCAGAGCTCAGTTTTAGGAGGTTTTCTCTTTGGGAAAAGAATTGTTTATTGGCATGCAGATTTATCCCATATAGCTTCTGTTCTTTAAACAGTGCATGCCAGGGGCTGACGTCATTAAGGGTGTTCAGTTGTCGCTGTTGGTGGGCAAAAAATACAGCCAAGATGCTGCAGAATCTGCTGGCTCTTTGTCAGATTACCCAGAGGACCATAAGTACCTCTTCACGCAGACAGTTTGAAAATAAAGTTCGAGAAAAACAAAAGCTATTTCAGGAGGATAATGGAATTCCAGTGTATCTAAAGGGTGGGATAGCTGATGCCCTCCTGTATAGAGCCACCATGTTTCTTACAGTTAGCGGAACAGCACATGCCATATATCAGATGGCTGTGTCTTCGTTTCCCAAGAAGCTGGATTGACTTCAAATTATCATCCCAGCTCTGGCTTCAGTTTAATTCCGTGCCCTATGGACCAGTAATCTGATCAAAAGAGCTCTTCTTTGGGTATCACTATTGACTTACACTAACTGTCACCAATAAAGCAGTCTTTACCATGAAATAAAAAGAAAAAAAAACAGTGACATGCACTGTTGTTTAATAAAGTAAAATAAAATTTCATTAGCATGGACATTTTATAATAATGAAATCATAAATAATTGCTAATATGGCCTATTGAACCTGATGATCATTAAGTGTAGGTTAAATAATAAGTACATGGGAGAGCAGAAAAGATGGGGGAGGGAGGAATATGTGCAACAGTAAATGAATAAGAAAAATTATAAATACGTTAATGAGATTATTGAAGATCTGAACTACAGATTATATAAATTTATGCAAACGTTTTAGTTTGACATAAGTCAAATTGAAACTATTAACCTAAGGACTTCTCTCTTATAACTGCGTAGAAATATATAAATCCATGCTATAATGTTATCATTCTCTAATATTTAAACTGTTGCCCCCTCTGGTAAATACTTAATAGGCAGTAGTACAAAGTTAATTCTTCAGCTGAGTCTTGAGTATTAAAATGAAGCAAATAGATGATGAAGATGCAGTTACTGAAAATTGTCTTTAAGACAGAGCAGGAAGGGAAAGGGGAATGCACAGAGGTTTCAGTAGGATCTTGACAATAATGGCATTATATAATGACAATTATTATATTAAAATTAAATGTAGGAATGACTGAATGAAAACCAATTTTTTTTTTAAATAAAAAAAAAACGCCTCTCCCGTAAACTCCATTGTCATTGAGTTGGAACTTATTCATAACTGGCCCTCCAGTCAGCTTGTGGGGCTGTAAATCATCCAGGAGAAGATTGCTAGTTTCTCTTAGAGCAGCTGGAAGATTTGAACCTTTAGAAAGGCATCACCTTTGGGTTAGCAGGGCAGTTAACTCCAAGTGGGCCGTGCTACCAGAGCTCCCTTTATATTTTTTTAAATTTTATTCTTTTTTTGTGTGTACCGTCCAATCGGATCTGACTGATATAGGAGGACATTGCCTCTACTTTTCCAGCAGAGCATCTGGTGGATTTGAACCATGTACCTCTGGGATCGCAGTGCAACTTCTTGCCACTCGGCCACCAGAGCTCCCTTTAAGACATGTTGTTGTTGTTGTTGTTATGTGTCATCGAGTCACCTGTGACTCATAGCGACCCTATGTACAACAGCCCTAAACTCCGCTCTGTCCTGTGCCAATCGCACTGTCTCTGACACTCCCATCCCAATTATCCCAGTCACTGAATCAGTCCACCTCATAGAGTGCCTTCCTCTCCTGCGCTGTCCCTCCACCCTCCCAAGCATGATGTCCCTCTCCAAGGACCGGTCTCTCCTCACAACATGTCCAAAGTATGTTAGACTGAGCCTCAGAATCCTTGCCTCCAGGGAGCCACCCGGTTTAACCCTTTCCAGGACAAATCTGTTTGTTTTCCTAGCAGTCCATGGTATTCTCAATACTCTTCTCCAGCACCACAGCTCAAAGGCATCAATTCTCCTTCTATCCTCCTTGGTCATTGTCCAACTCTCTGATGCATAACAGGTGATTGCGAAGACCATGGCCTGTATCAGACGCACCTTAGTCTCCAAAGAGACACCATTGCTCTTCAGCACTTTGGAGAGGTCCCTAACAGCAGACTTTCCCATTGCAATGTGCCTTTTAATTTCCTGGCTGCTGGGGCCAAGACTGTTGACTATGGAGACAAGCAAACTAAAGCTGTGTACAATCTCAATCTCTTCACCATCCATCCTGGTGCTGCCAATTGGTCCAGTGGTGAGAATCTTTGTCTTCTTGACATTGAGCCTCAATCCATATTGTAGGCTGCAGTCCTTGACACTCTGCAGCAGGCGCTTCAGGTCCTCTTCAGTTTCAGCAAGAAGGGTTGTGTCATCTGCATAACGCAGATTGTTCATAAATCGTCCATCAATCTTGACCCCACATTTCTCCTCATAGAGCCCAGCCTCCCGGATAATCTGTTCTGCATATAGGTTGAAAAGGTATGGAGATAGGATGCATCCCTGGCGTACGCCCTTCCCAATTTTGAACCATGCAGTGTTCCCTTGCTCAGACAATAAAACTACCATCAGTTTAACTTTTCTTTTTAAAAAAAAAGTTTCTTTTTCTGTGAATTGCATTCATATACTTTATGTAATTTTCTATTAGATTGCTGATCTTAATCTTTTTTAATTGGTAAGGTCTTTTTGTCTTTCATAACATTTCTAAATATTTTCTTAGTTTGTCATCTTGGCTTTGCTTATTCATTTGGAAGGTAATAACAGCATAAATACATTTTTATATACTTATAAAAATGTCATTTTGGGGCCTTCCCACTGTAGGCTTGTCTCAAAAGTTGTATTACTGTTCTTTCAGTATGTTTTTCAGCTTTTTGTTTTGCTTTTGGTTTTTGTTTTGTCTAATCAAATATGTAATGAATCTTTAATTTACTTTATCCATTAGGTCACCAGAGCTCCCTTGTAATTTACTTTAGGGTAAAATAAGAAGTGGAGTACAGGGATTTTTCCTTCATAGTAGTCTCTCATTTCACGATTTATCTTTCCCACACTGATTTGTAATGGCCCCGTAAAGCAATTTTTAGTTAAGTGACACTTGACCAAATTGAGGAATTGCTGGAGGAGACAGGACATGTTAGATCACAGTAGTTCTGATTCCTCATTGCATTTTATTGTGTATCATCAAGTTGGAACTGGCCCATAGCTGAGTCTCCAGTGGGTTTTCCAAGACAGTAAACCACACAGGAGGAGATTGTCATCCCTCTCCTGAGGAGCAGCTGGTGGATTCCAACCGCATGCCTTTAGGATTTTAGAATTATCTAAAGTAATGCTTCTCAGAGTTTTGCATTCATCTGATTTTGCTCAGCTACTAACCAAAAGGTCTGCAGTTCAAACTCACCAACTGCTCTCAAGGAGAAACATGCTGGCAGTCTGTTTTACAGAAGCTGACTGTCAGCATCTTTCTCCCTGACCTGCTTATTTTAAAACCCTATGGGAGAGTCTAGTCTGCCCTACAGTGGTTCTGTGAACCTGAATAGACTCAGTGGCATTGGGTAAAATAGCAGTGCCTAAGCCCTACCACCAGAAATGACCGCTTAATAGAACTGTGTGTTGTAGGGCCCAAATATAAATATTTTGAGATTTCCTAGGTGATTCTAATCTACAGTTGAGTTTAAGAACTGATGAGTTAAGAAAGCTAGATTTCAGTAATATTTTGGCAGCTATTGCTTAAGAAACCAAGTAAGTCTTAAAATAATTGTTAAGAATAATAAATTATATTTAAAAAATTAATAATAAATTAAGTAGGACTCAGGCCTTTATGTGCTTTTCCTGCCTCTTTCCCCAAGGAGTATGGATGGCTAAGTACAAGATTATGGCTGAGTATTTTCTGTTGAAAGCATTAAAATGCTGCAAGTTCTTAAAGAGTTGCCATGTTGTGTCTACAGGTGGAATGAGGTATCACTTACTGTCTCCAGAAGATCGAGAAGAACTGGTGGAAGGAACAAGGCCCAGAAGAAAGAAACATGACTACCGCATCGCTCTCTTTGGAGGCTCACAACCACAGTCCTGTAGATATTTTAACCCAAAGGTAACTAATTTTCATTCTTGCTTTTGTGTTGGATTTTGCTTTTTTTTGAAAGCACTGGGCACATATACACCTCCCACTGGTAGTAACAGCTTGGACCTTTAGAGATGTTACAATCCGTATTATTTTTTCACATATTTTATAAAATACATAGCCATCATTTTCATTTTACAGATAGGAAATTGAGGCTTGATAAGATATTTTTTCTTTCCATAATTGCTCAAGATTTTTAAATAGTAACTACTATCAAAGAAAATTAAAACCTAGTTCTCCTGTCTTTTTTTTTTGTTTAACAACTTTTGCTGTCGTTGCAACTCTTCTTTAATTATATGCCATTTTCAGTTACAAACTACTTCTGAAGATACATTTTCTTTGTTTAATAACTTTGTTTTAATATGAAATAATGTCATCATTCCAGAAAATTTGGAGAACCTAGAAAGTCACTATGAAAAATGGTAAATATGTTTTCTTTTTCAAGTAAAAATTTTGGTACTTTTAAAGCAATTAAATTACATTTTGGTAGAAATTAAATTAATTGACTATTGTCATGTACATAGTTACAGGGAAGCATGATTTGATTTAGGGAGCAAAGAGCATTGTTTCTAGAATGAGACAATGTGAATGACTCTGCAGTTTGTGTTTGTTTTTAAAGTATAGTTCTAACACTTTGTTTGATTTTTGTCTGTTTTTATAATTGAACAGTTTGAAAAAGGTGCATGTTCTACAGGAGCCTGGAGAATGTAACTTCAGAATTTTCCTTTTGATGCTTGATTTGCTCTTAAACATTACCTGTACTTGACTGCTCTTTCATATAGTCAGCTGCAAATTTTTGGACTTCAAGTAGAACAAGTCAAATAACTGAAGAATTAACTACTGATTTAAATCCTTTTGAATTTTCTCTTTTAATAATCAACACTACCTGCATCTCATTACAATATTTATTAAATATTTCTATTAAAAGTGCTAGCTACTTTCCTTCTTTTTGTTCTAAAAAGTGGTTTCATGGTCTCAAAACACTTTAGCCATTTAGTTTTATCAATATTTAAATTTTTTTTATATAAATTACTCCTGAGTGGTCTGGTTGATAAGTTACTTGACTCTCCCGAAGTTAAAATTATTTATAGAATCATTTAGGTAGAATGCTTAATAAGAAATACTATATAGGAATTATTATTATACCCAACATTTTTAAAAATGTTGAAATTATGGGACTCATTCATAGAAGGAACATTTTTCACAGTATTACTAATTGAATTATCCAGAAGTAATCTACTATCTTTATAAGTTGTTATAATTCAGTATTCCTTGACTATTACTAGTGGCAGAAGTTAAATACTTATATTGACTGCTGACTCAAAAATGATAGGAAAGAAAATCATAGTCTCTGTTTCTGATTATTGACAAAAAGTCCTGAGTTGCTATTTTGAATTAAAATGGGACTGTGTTTTATGGTCCTTTCATAGAGCCTGCTGAACCTGCCTTTCACTCTAACCTCCCACCACCTCTATGCCAATTTTAGTATTTCAAATGCTTAGCAGTTACTACAAGAGTTATCTCTGTCAATTGTTTCTCTAAGTACTAGTGTTCTCAAGTTGTAGAATGTGAATGTCTTTTGATACTAATACCTAAATAAAAGTTGACTTAATTGACCAGTTTTTGTTTGGATTCCACTTGTCATATGAATACTGAGCTGAGGTATTAGAACTTAGCAATATTAAAAAAATTAAAAAAAATAAAATTTTAAAAAAAAAAAGAACTTAGCAATACAAGGGTTTCAGCATATTACCTGCCACAAACAGACAAGAGGAAGACAAGTAGGGTGAGGAGAATAGTGTTTATAAAGAAACCTTGTCTCACAGAACTGTGAGGATTGATGGCTTCCAATGAGAACATTGCCTTTCTCACCACTCTGAAGTAAACTCATCCCTCAGCATAATGCTTAGCACAGTGTAGCATCTCAAGTTTGTGATGATGGCTGAATGGATGAGTACTGTTTTCTACAACATTTCACAGACAATTTTCTTAGCTTGTTTTGGAGGACTGAATCTAAATATTTGGGGGAAAAAAGTTGTTACCAAGTTAATTCCTACTTAGAGTGATCCCATATGTGCCAATTTCTGCTTCTGTCAGCCCTATTTCATAAGCTTTTCAGCAGCTGATTTTTTAAAATAGGTTGATTACCAAGCCTTCATTCTAAGGGACCTCTGATCATTCAGGTCATAGCCACACAGCGCACGCTGACTGTCAGCACCACCCAGGGACTCCAGACTAAATATGCATGGACCCTGTCCTAGAAAACTCAAGTTACGTGCAGCTTGGGACACATTTTCTTGTTGGAAATGTTTATTAAAAGTATCACTATGCTTTTTTTCCTGTCCTTTTAAATAGGCCTGGGGAGCTCTGATAGAATAGGAACTCCCAGTGAAGTTTTAGCTAATCCTGGGAAGGCTGACATCAAAATCATTCTTCATTGGCCACACACTGCTACCGTAAAGGCCGAGCTTCTCTGGTAGTTGGAAATCACCATTGACTCCACTGGGGAAAGATGGATACTTTCCTTCAATGTGATTTACAGCCTGAGAAACCCAGTGATGCGTCAGCTATGAGTTGGAACCAACCCTATGGCAGTAAGTTTGAAGTTTGGAATAAGTAGGTCTAGAAATGCTAATAATCAAGAAGCAGATATTCCCACTCTGTGATCAGGATAAAAATTCAAAATTCTACATCACATGGGTCAGTGTATTTTAGAAGATCATGTTGCTAAAAGAAGTACAAAACTTAATAGGAAAGTGGTGTTACATTACAAAAATCAAGGTGACTTTAATAGTGTATCAGTGTTACTTGCTACCAGTGAAAGAGTTTTATAAAACAGTGCACTGCAGTAGCAATGGACGGGCAGCGAGCACTACAGAAATGATCAGGAGCTCCCACAGGCAGAGTATTCAATAGTGGCAGTACAGAATCCTCCCAGGTGGACTAGGTCTCTAGTTGTGTGTCCAGGGGCTAACACTGCTGAAATGCAAGCATGGATCATCATTGGTATCCTGTAAACTTCTTTAGTTGTCAGTGTGATAGGTACCCAGAGGGGAAATTCCATATTCTCTGTAGCTTGTGTGCAGTAAGCTCATGTACAAGAAGACATTGGAACACATTCTAAGGTAAATTCTTAGCCGAATGTTCTGCCGGCTTAGAATACCTTCCAAAATAAGAACATTGAGCCCTTCATTTGATTTCTTCGCATCCATCTCCTTCACACACTGATTTCCTAACATCGACTTCATAACCCCATCCCCTCCAACTACATGTAGTACTTGGAGTTTCCTCTTCAGAGGTATGTGTTCCCTTTGTTAAATCATCATATCTGTGAGAAACTCCCAGTGAAATTATGAATGATTCTAGGAAAGATGGCATCAAACTCATTCTCTGTTGGCCACAGCCAGCCATAAAGTATCAGCAGATTGAGAGCAACCCCCTAAAAAGACTAGAGGAATGGAAACAAAGCAGCAGGTATTGGACTGAGGGTAAGAGGAAGGCAAAAATAAGCAAATAGGAACGTTGTCTCTGGTGCTGATTTAAGGGATTCTGACCACTCAGAATAGGGAGACAGGATGCATTCCTTGTGTACACATTTCCTGATTTTGAACCATGCACTGTTCCCTTGCTCTGTTCTGACGACTGCCTCCTGGTCCAAGTATAGGTTTCACATTAGAACGATCAAGTGTTCTGGGATTCCCATTCTTCTCAGAGTCAGCCACAGTTTGTTATGATCCACACAGTCAAATGCCTTTGCATAGTCAATGAAACACAGGTAGACATTCTTCTGGTATTCTCTGCTCTCAGCCAAGATTCATCTACCATCAGCTATTATATCCCTAGAACTATGGCCTTTTCTAAACCCAGACTTCACAACTGGTAGACCTCTGTTGATGTCCTGTTCCGGTCATTTTTGGATAATTTTCATCAGGATCTTGCTTGTATGTGATAGTAATGATAATCTAGAGCACTGAAGAGCAACAGTGTCATTCTGGAGACTAAGGTGCACCTGATACAGGCCATGCTTTTCACAATTAGTTGCTGTGCATCAGAAAGCTGGATAATGAGTAGGGATGATCTAAGAATTGATGCCTTTGTGCTGTGGTGCTGGAGAGTCTGAAGCTCTTTCTGACCTAATTAGGACATGTTGGGAGGAGGGACCAGTTCTTACGGACATCATGCTTGGAAGAGTAGAGGAATAGTGCAGGAGAGGAAGGCCCTGTATGAGATGAATTGACTCAGTGACTGGGGTAATGGGTGTAGGTGTGTCAGAGATAATGAGGTTGACTCAGGATAGATCAGGGTTCAGAGCTGTTGTACATAGGGTCACAATGAGTTGCAAGCGATTTGTTGGCATGTAACAACAACCCGCACTCTGAACAAATCTGTCTTGTAAGTAATGTAGCAGGAGTGTTCCTTAGGAACTCAGGTTGTGGGGAGGGTAGAAGCAGAGGGATGAGGATGTATGGCGGAGGTGGGGGGTATTAATCATGTGGTTGTACAGTTTGATGGCTGGGAGGGGTAAGGGAAATTGGAAGAATCTGATCTGAAAAGCAATGTATTTTAATTTTGTAAACTAGTATTAAATTTAAAAAGGGGAGGGGAGAAAAGCATAGGTGGTGACATTTCATCTCAGATACTGTGGGCATATTGCCAGGAAAGCACCAGTCCCTAGAAGAGGGTGTCCTATGTAAAGTAGAAAGCACATAAGAGAAAGTCCTATTTACAGCAGAGGTTGTGAGGATTGGACAGGTTTTCTTTCTGTTATGTATGGGGTCGAAATGAGTCAAAATTGACTCACAGCACCTGACCACACCAAGCCATCCTGGCACGGAGCCTGGGTGGCATGGTGGGTAACAGTCTGAGATGCTAACCAAAAGGTTGGTGTCATTCCATGGGAGAAAGATGTGTCTTCTCCTTCCATAAAGATTTACAGCATCAGCCCCCACTGAAGGGTACTATGAATCAGG